TGCTCTCAATTTACAGATGAAAACAAATGTTGTCCTAGGATGGAATTTGGACTTGAGGTTGGCTTAAGACTTTTGGGATGATACAATAGGGTGAAAGTGTCTTACATGTGGCAAAGACATGAATTTTGGAGGGCCAAAGGGTAGAATGTCATAGATTGAATTAGGTCCCCCCAAAATATGTGTCCACATGGCTGGCCTGTGCTTCTCAGTGGTTCAGCAGTTATGTAATGATGCAATTACCCCCCATGATGTGATCTGATGTGATCAGCCAATCAGTTACGAGGGGATTAGGGTGGGATGCAACACCCTGACTCAGGTCACAGCCCTGATCCAATGTTAGGGGAGTTTCCCTAGGTGTGGCCTGCATCACTTTTCCTCTTACAAGAGACAAAAGGAGAGAGAAGGGAGCAGGTAAGGAGGAATGTCAGTACCACCAAGAAAGAAGAGCCAGGAGTGGAGCATACTGCTTGGGCCCGGAGCCCTGTGCCAAGAACCCCCAGATCCAGGGGAAAACTGAGGGCAAGAGAGATGTCCAAGGGATGCCAAGCCCACAGATGTTGAAAGGAGACAAGGGCCTTCCTCCACAGTCCGCAGAAAGAGAACACCTTCCCCCAGAGCCGCTGCCCAAACTCAGAGTCCAGCTACAAAACTACAAAAGAACAAAGTTCTACTTGTTAAAGCCCCCATTTGTAGCACTTCTGTTAAAGCAGTACTAGAGAAGATGCATACCCCCACGCACTTACAACATGCTCATATGTGCACATATGCTCGCATGTACCTGCACACATGTGCACTCACATGCTCATGCATGTCTACACAACAAAACTGACAATATGCTCATGTTCATATACACACATACTCACACATGTCCACACACATCCATCTGTGTTCACAATATGCTCACATCCACACACACATTTGCATGTTTACACATATAGACACACATCCACGTGTGCTCACAGTATGGTATGTTCACATGCACAGATATGCTCACACACATGCTTACACAGACATCCACATGTACTCACGATGTGTTCACATGCACACACATGCTCACTCACACACACACATAAAATGTGCTCACAATACACTTATGTTCACATGCACACTCATGCCCACACTCACATACTTACAAATGTAGATACACAACCCACATGTGCCACAATATGCTCATATGTTCACATGAGCATGCTCACACACACATGCTTATGCAGGTCTACACCGTGTCCTCACAATATGCTCATATGTTCACATGCCAACTCAAATGCTTACACACGTAGACACACACATCCACATGTGCTCACAATATGCTCATATGCCCATATGCACACACGTTCACACATGTTCACGCATATCCATGTGCTCACACTATGCTGTGTTCACATGCACATGTGTGGTCACATACACACACATGTAGATACACGCATCCATGTGTACTCACAATATGCTCATATGTTCAGATGCCCACTCGTGCTTACACATGTAGACACACACCTCCACATGTGCTCATGATATGCTTGTATGTTCACATGCACACATATGTACACACACAGGTAGACACAATCCACGTGTGCGTACAATATCCTATGTTCACGTGCACACACGTCACACATGCTTACAGACATCCATGTGCGCTCACAATATGCTCACATGCACATAAGTTTACACATAGACACATCCACATGTGCTCACAATATCCTATGTTCACACGCACACACGTCACACATGCTTACACATGTAGACACAGATCCATGTGTGCTCAGTGTGCTCATGTTCTCATGCACACACATCCACATGCACTCACTTACATGTACCACATGCTCATCTGCTCACATATGTGCACACTCATACATGCACACCTGCTCATGTGCACTTACACACACACACACACACTTGCTCTCCCTTCACGTTTTCAGTTGTTCCAGCCTCTGCCCTCGGGAGACCCCTTCAGCCTGAGTCACACAACTGCCACCCAATGTCCTTCAGCCTGGCATGTGTGGGCCCAGATGCCCAGGTGCCCCCCCCAAGCATCACCTAGGCTGCTCCAAAAAGGCCTGACCTTGGCCATCTTCTTTCTTACACTCCCCACCAAATGCATCTGTTCCTACATCTGGGAAGAGCCTCGCTCAGTGCTGGGGCGACAGGTCCAGCCTTACGCTCCCAGGGGGGGAGCTACTTCCCCTGTTCTGCATGTGGGACAAGCCTGGTGCAGCACAGGCACCTGGAGGAGGCGTGCTGAGAGGGCCAGGGCCAGCCTTACACCCGGGGGAAGGGCCACTCTCCCCATTTTGCAATCAAGGAACCGAAGCTCTGGGGAGAGAGGCTTGCCCAGGGTCAGAGCTGCCCACACCAGCCCCTCGGAGCCCGACTCTCCCTCTAGAAGAATGGGCCATCCACAGACCCCCAGCCCTGAGCGTTTCCCTGGCTGAGTGTCTGCAGGATTGCCAGGGCCACTGCCAGTCCCCCCAGGGTGGCCCTTCCAGGTGAGCGTCACAGCTCCTTCCAGCACTGCCCACAGGCAGCACACAAGGGCCCACTACGTGGAGAGCCTCATACCACGCCCAGCCTCCGATGGCTGTGCCATGGCTCAGGCTTGCCTGGTTAGACGGCTCCACAACCCCTGCTGCCATGCTCTGCCTGTTCAGAGACAGGGGAGGAACCTGCAGTCCAAGCTGGCCAGAGGTCAGCACCCACAGACCTGCTGAGCAGATAGGTCACGCCCCCCTCTGGTGACACCAATCACGGCACGTGCATAGGCACCAGATCGGCCCTGACCCTGGAGATGGCCCTTTCTGCTGCCTCAGCCAGGAGCCCAGGTGCAAGCCGACAGTGGGGCCAGGTGGGCAGCAGGCGGCCACTCTGCTGAGAGGGCACCAGGCCCAGGTGACCTTGGGTAAGGCCGCTCCTCCAGGGCCCTCAGGCCCTCAGCCACCAAGGAGTGCTCAGGGCACCCCCTCCGCCGCCCTGTCCCATCCCCCTCCCATCAATCCTAACATCTGGGGGGACCCTCCAAGGGTCAGGGACAGGCACCAAAAGTGAGCAGCCAGGATTGCGGGGCTGTCAGCAGAGAGGAGGCCAGGATGAAGCCCCAGGCAGGAGGCTCCAGGGAGGCATCTGGGCTGGTATCCTCCATGCCAGAGTCCTCGGGCCACTTGGCCTCCAGCCCATTTCTGCCCGCCACCACCCTCCACAGGCAGCCCCACCCCACGCCCACGACTCCCCACCTCAGGGGGCAGAGGCCCAGCCAGGGTTGCCGAGGTGCCAGAGCGCCGACGGCAGAGGGGAGGCGGGAGGGAAAACCAATAAATCTGACCCTCATTCGCAGTCATCGGGGCTCTTATTAAGTAAATTAATTTAAGTTAATTTAACTCGATCATGACTCCCGATCCCCGTGATTTAGTGAGGGGGAAATTGCATTAGGAAAGGCCACGCTCACCAGACAGAAGAATGGAAGGAAATTAGATCCACTTAGCAGTGTGAATTAATATGGAAATAGCAGGTGTAAATTTAACCTTATCGAGAGACTGAAAATTATCTTCATAAATTTGTAGAAACGGTCCCAAGATGCTTATAAATCTATTTAAAACAAAAATATTACAAAAAGTACAATGAAATTAATTTAAAATATACTTCCACCTCCTGCCTCCAGAAGAGTTTGTGGTGGGGTGAAGCTGAGCGCCACCCAGTGGTGAGGGCAGAGGGGCCAGGCACCAGATACTGCCTGCCCACGGCCTACAGGCCACCTCTGCCACTGGGCTCAGCCCCACCTCCCCAGGCTGGCTGTTGACCCAGGCAACCCCAGATTGTAGGTCTGCCAGCAATGGGCACCCTGCCCAGCAGCCCCAGTCAAGACGGGCAGGGTGCTGGGAGGGCTGCCCCCGGCCCTGGGTCCTGACTGCCCTGCCTGTGGTCCAGCCCTGCCCCACAGACTCTGTGCCCAATGTGCCTGTGGGGAGCCCCAAGAGTACAGAAGAGGGACAGAAGAACTAGTCTGACACTGTCTGCTACTACCCCTCGGCACAGGAAGGGATGGAGGCTACAACAGGGGCCCCAGAGCTTGGTCCCCCAGTGCTGCCAACTGTGTGGCAATGCCCCATGGGCTTGGGCACAGGCCCGACCACATGGGCCTGTACTGTCAAGCCAGTGTACAGACCCCACCAGCTACCAGGCTGGCTGAGGACCTGGGTGTGCTGGGAGGAGGGCATGTGTGCACTCACGTATGTGTGCACTGTGTCCACAGGCTTGTGCACGTGTGCAGGTATGCACATGTGAGTGCATGTATGAAGGCATGGGCATTAAGCATGTTGTACTCTGTGTGCACACTTGCAGGAGCATGCAGTACACACAAGCTGGCAGTCTCCTGAGTCTTTGTGGCAGAAAATGCTAAACAAACAAAAATGAACCAAGTCCCCAGCTAATGAGCTGGGTATGCAGACCTGCATGCGCTCAGCCCGCTGTGTGCAGGGCCCTGTTTGCACTTAGCCCAGTGCCCAGGCATGGCTTCCACGTGCCCTCGGCCCACTGTGCCCAAGCATGGCCCCTGTGTGCACTCGGCCCATTGTCTGCACCCGGATCACCGTGCACAGGGCCCACTGTGTGCACCTAGCCTGCTGTGCCCAGGTACAACCCAGGTGTCCTCGGCCCACGGTGCCCAGGCATGGCCCCTGTGTGCCCCAGCCTACTGTGCCCAGGCATGGCCTGTGTGCCCTTGGCCCACTGTGCACTCGGCCCAGTGTGTGCACCCGGCCCACTATGCCCAGGCGTAGCTCATGTGTCCTCAGCCCACTGTACACAGGCATGGGCCCCATGTGCCCTCGGCCCACTGTGTGCAGGGCCCTGTGTGCACTCGGCCCACTGTGCCCAGGCACGGCCCCGGCGTGCCCTCAGCCCGATGTATGCAGGCCCCTGTGTGCACGTGGCCCACTAGGCTCCTCCCCCTCCTGCCCTCAGACACCCAGATAGGCCTCCTCCTACCCATAGGAGCCATCAGTGTCCCTTACCTGGGCAGTGAGAGCCGCCGGGCACGCCAGGTGGGCAGAGCCAGGTGGAAGGGCGAAGAGCTTAGTGAAGAGGCCAAACCCTTCTTGATGATGCGGTAGCGTGTCTTGATCACTCTGCCAGAGGGAGGCGTGCGCAGGGAATGCAGGCTGCTCACTGTGGAGAGATGGGGTCCAGAGTCAGTTGGGGGTAGAGGGCACCGAGAGGCCAGGGGCTGCCACCACTGCCAGCCCCCACTGGCTAGCTGCCTCCTCTAGGGGTGAGAACTCTGCAGCCCGGAGAGCTCAGCCAGCACGTGGACTGGCTTGGACCCGAGCCCTGGCCTGAGGCTTCAGGAACCAGTCAGGGCAGATGCAGTTGGGCAGCGGGCCAGACGTCAAGGATGCCGGGAGTGGGGCCCCGTGCTCGGCCCTCACCTGCTCAGCTGTGCGCTGCCACCCAAGAGGCAGCCCTGGGGTTCCCCACAACACAGGAAGGAGCAAGGAGGCTGCTCGGCCGGTCTACTCGGGCAGGGCTGCGGATGCCAGGTGAGCCAGGCCCGTGGCCAGCGCTCCTGGCCAGGCCCCTGCACACCCCTCCCGGGTCCTGGCACAGCCCTGCTGACAGATTTATGTATTTAATCGTCTCTGTTTCCGTCACGTTTTGCAGGCGCTATTCACAACGCCTCCTCTTGCTGAACGTCTCGCGCAATTACCAGAAATCTGTTTTGCCTGTTCCTTCACTTGCGAGCCGGCGATTTCTCCCGGCTTTTGAAGAACGCCTCTAATTGCCTGGCTTTCATCATGCACGGTGCTAACTGCCCAGATAATTAAAGCTGAGGCACGTGGACAGGGTGCTGCCTCTAATTACTGATCCCACAGTGGCACCCAACGCAGGAAGCCCTTGGGGCCTCCACGGGCCTCCACCTGCAGCCCCTCCAGATCCCAGGCTTCTGCGTGACCTGGACCCATGCTTCTCCCCGGTCCTGTCTCACTTGCAGATGGGAAAGAAGAAGACATCGCTGGCACTGAGGGCAGAGGAGGCTGCAGCCAGCCTTGTCTCTACCCCAACACCAGGATCACAAAGCACAGGCAGCGATGCCGGGGGCCCAGGAGTACGACTGGACAAAAGAGGAAGCCGGGCATGAGAGCAGAACAAGCCGTCACGCAGCTGAGGGCACGGGGCCAAGACAGCCCAGGTGGCGTCAGGAGAGAGAGGCTGCCACGGGACAGGACCCTCCCGGCCCCATCTCCTCACCCAGCACGGCCTGTGGCAGCCAGCCCAGTGGGCTGCCCGAGCAGGCCCCGCCCCGAGCAAACCACCCCTGGTAGGTACCTTCCAGGCAGGCCCCGCTGCGACACTCCAGAGAACCCCCCAGGCACTCCCACAGGCGCAGCACCGAGCCCACACAAGCTGGGGGCCCTGCCAGGCCGCACTGTGCCCCGTGGGGTCTCCTGCCTCTCAGCCTCACAGTGGCCTGGGGGAGTCCAGGAAAAGAGCTCAGCAGAGCCGAGGCGCGACCCCTCTGCAGACCCCCACCGAGGACCGGCTTTGTGACCAGCGGCTGAGCCCCACATGTTCAGAACGGGGAGGGGCTGCGTGACCACCAGCTGAGCTCCACAGGTTTGGGATGAAGGGGCTGCGTGACCACCGGCTGAGCCCCTTGGTTCAGGACCAAGGAGGGTGCTGCGTGATGACCAGCTGAACCTCACATTCAGAATGGGGGCCCCACAGGATATGATCTTATAAGCAAGGAGAGGCCAACAAAACTCGATCACAGCTCTGCGCCAAGCAAGAGCCTGAGGGTGAGGGACTGCTTGGGGTTATCAACAGCCCACACTGGCCACCCCAGTCCTGGGCCTGCATGGGGCTGCACCAGGGCTAATCAACAGCCCCCACTGGCCACCCCAGTCCCAGGCCTGCGTGGGGCAGTGTGGGGCAGCACCAGGGCTAGCTCACTCCAGGCCCTGGCCCACAAGGCTCCACTCACCCCAGGGCCTCCCTGCCTCCGACCTGAAGCCCCACGCGGACCACACCTCTGGTGGCTCCCGGCTTTCCACAGCAGCTACCTGCACAGAAGGCCTCAGAGCACAGCTAAGCCAGGCCCTGCATGGGGCTGGTGCTTCCCAGCCAGCTAAGAACCTTCCTGGGCACAAATGTTTCATAGGCAGCACCCAGCAGCTGGTGTGGACAAGGGTTACATGGCCTGGTCTCACCTGCCTTGGCTCATCACGTCCCTGGCGCCCAGGAGTCTGACCCGGCCCCGGGTGCCTTCCCCCTTCCTCGGCAGGTCCCAAGCCACCTCCCTGCCAGTTTCTCACCACCCACGGGGTTGGCCATTACATTCCAGACAATCACAGCCAAGCTCCTGCCCAGACTAGGCCCACACTGACCTGAACCAGGAGTGGGCGGTGCCTCTAGGCACGACAGGGGTCCCCATGGGTTAAGGGGTGTCAGTATTTAGCACGTCACACGCAGGCCTGTCATGAAGCCGTGCGCTTTCGTTCACTTACTGAGCTTTATACTTCTTAGTACTTAATTACCCGTCCAAGGAAACACAGGCTCCGCGTGACCAGATGTGACTGGCGCACCCCACGCTGTCCACAAAGCCCATGCCGCTCTCCCGGCCCCCACGGCGCACCCTCACCCACCTTTCCTGGCACCTGCTGAGCTGCAGGCAGGGATGAGATGGGACAGGGAGGTACAGCAGCAACAGGGACCCCTCAGGACTGCACCAAGGGCCCCAGCATTGGGCAGTGTGAACAGACACGAGACAATCCTCTGGGGCCACGTCCAGGCCGGGTGATGGTGCCCAACACCAGGGGCCGGAGTCAGAGAGCAACAAGCAATGGCAGTGGCCAGACCCACCAAGCCGGGGGCCTCCTGCCCTGCAGCCAGCCCGCAGGGGCCCACCTGCTCGAGGGATGCGCTCCCCGGAGCCACGGGCCATGCCCCGTGCAGCGCAGCAGGCAGCTCCGGGCCAGGCCCCGCCAGCAGTGCTACCGTCCCCGGGCTGGCTGAAGGGTTTGTGTAGGTGAACACGTTATTTAGCCAGGATGTTAGTTTAATGCGCTTCATTACAGCCTCCCAGGGTTGTAATTTTTCTCTCCGCGTGATGTATTCCCTGTGGCACGTTTCACTCACATCAAGCTCCTCTCGCCGTTCCTGCCAACAACGCCCCCGCGGCCTGTTATCAGGCCCACACACGCGGCCGCGCCCCGCCATGCCGAGGTCACGGCTAATGACTGATCGATCTCATTAGCTTTCCTAATTAAAAACTTTACTACCGCGATGGCAGACAGGCCGCAAAAAACTGCTGGCATCATGTGGGACTGGGATATGAGCCCATCCATCAGGCCGCCGGGCCGGCCCCGCACACACTCAGCAAGCAGCGGGGGTGGGTGGCCTGGAAGGACAGTTGTCAAGGCCCCAGAAGCCTTCCCGTCAGTGCCGTGAGTTCATCCCATGGGCCCTGTGGTTCAGCGGCTGAGCTAGCAGCCATGACCCGGCCCCTCACCACCCATCACACCCAGGAAGGAGCTCCAAGAGTGGGTCGAAGTCCAGGCCCTCTTGGGGTGGGCCAACTGTAAGACTGGCAGGCCTGGGTGGCTGGTAGGTGACGGCCCCCACGGGTCAGCCTGGGGACTCCCTGCCCGGCTGCACCCACGACTTCCCTGCAAACAGCAGCGTGAGTCAGGCAGAGGCCACGCACGCTCGCTCGGCTCCTCAGCAGAGTGAGTTGAGACAGAGTTCAGATTTTTATGGAACTTCAAAGGGAAATAACCAGGAGGAGAATGAGTTGCTAATTTCACAATCAGTTACCAAACAAGGAGAAGGTAACTGGAATTGCCACTCTGAGCAGAGACCCGCCAGAGGCCCCAGATGGCTGCTCAGGGACACCCACAGGTCACTCCATGGTCTGGCCCTGCGCTGTCCTGTGGCTGGTCTGGGCCCAGGGTACAGACAGAAGCAGGCCTGGCTCTGTAAGAGGGTCTGGGCCACAATGAGGGGCAGGGGCACCCAGGCCTTGGGGATGCCGGCCCCTCTGCCTGGGAACACGCAGGGCCCAGAAGCAGGCCTCTGACAGGCTTGGTGACATGCCCAACTCTGAAAGTCCCTGTCCTGGGCCTGCATACGTGTGACACACACAGCTCCACCAGGCCAAGTCCCAGTGTGAGAGCTGGCACTAGCCATGGAGGCACCCAGGCCAGCAGCAGAGGCCAGTTCCAACTCCATGGACCTGTGAGCAGCAGGCACCTGGAAGCCAGGCTCACCTTCAGACAGCAGTTCTAGGCAGTGGCCAGGGAGAGCAAGGTGGGGTATGGTTGGCCCTGAGGCTCTGGGAGCTCATCACTGTGGGAGGGGACCGGGGCCCACAACCCAGCGTCCACCCAGGCACCTGCCCATGTCGAGGGCTCACCAGAGTGGCTGCAGCCCAGAGGAAGGCTGGCGGGCTAGAGGCAGGTGCAAAGATGCCCTGAGCTAGAGGCCTCGCACAAGCTCACGGGTTTGTCAACATCTGGTGCTAGCTCACACTGGGCCACGGCAGGCGACATAAACTGCACTCTTGGCGGGACGCACAATCAGAATGTGCAATTACGGCCCAACAGAGCTGCTGGTGCTCACGTGTCCTGACCCACGATGAGCAGCTCACCAGGTGCCGAGACTGCTGTAGCCAGGCACAGACCCTGTCAGCGGGACATGCTATGTCACACAGAAGATGGAGCAGCCAGTGCTGCTCGCAGGCTGAGGGGCCCCCAGGGCAGGTAGGCAGGCACCGCTGGGCACCATGGCCCAAGGGGCTGCCCACAGCAGACAGAGGTACACTCAGCCTGGTGCACTAAGTCAGGCCCTGACCACCCCAGCCCCCACGGCCACCACCCACCTGCAAGCTCAGGCCAGCTCAACCCACCGCAGGCATCACCATGCAAGGTATGGAGAGCGGAAAAGCCAGGACCACCCTTGGGAAGACCAGAGTTTCGGGTTTGGAGAGGGGACAGACCCCATGAGCTGTGGGAAAAGTGCCTGGAATAAGACTGCTGGCAGGCACGGCAGAGGGAGGCCCAACAGAAGCAAGTGGGCAAGGCAGCCGGCCCCGGGGACCCCTGTGGTGGCCGAGAAGCCCAGCCCAACAGTGCTGAGGTGACCGAGCCACAGCCAGGGCCACTCCACACCAC